TTTTCAGTCAGTTGATATTCCTTGCAAATTCTTAGGTTTTGTTCTTTGGAGATAGCATCAGGTCAGACCTGTATCCATCGGCAGTGTTTGGTGACTGGCATGTTATTACAGTGCTAGAGGAGATGGAGTCTGAAGGAATGGTCACTTGTGAAAATGAGGTATTGTGTTGTTATCGGTACCTTAATTGCCACAGATACTGCATTGCTTAGTTTCTAGTCAAGAGTAACAGAAAATAGATAATTTTCCTATTTTCATAGGCCTGCAAAGGGGTTCAGCCACACGGCCAGCTGCATGCACTGTACCCTTTGCAAATATTGCTTGCCTAGTCGTAAAATGCATTTTTTTTTCTTTTGGATAGTTACACAGGCCTGCAATGCGTGCAAAGAGCTATAGTTACAAAGTTCCTGGCACATATTGTTTTCTCTGCATTTATTATGTGTTGAATGCCCTAGACTATTTGCTCAGGAGCAAGTTCTTAAAGGATGACATTATTGAAGGCATGCGCTGTCACTTCTGTCATTGTATCTTAAGTATACATTTAAGATATAGAAAATATGTACTATGTTACTATCACATTTTCATATAAATCTACTAGCGTTCAATCACAAATACCATTCGCTGATTGGCTATGCTACCGACTCTTTCATTCTGTCGAGATAGTGAGTAGCCTAGCAGTGTGCGCTTGTTATCAAAATGATGGTCAATTCTTTGTGTTTTTGAAGTATGTATGAAGAGGATTTAAATAAAGTTTTGAACAACTGGTGGATTTCTACTAAAACAATTAGACTCGCTTTCAATTTCTAGCATGATAGTTGACTTGGGTGGTGCCCTTGTCAACTATCGCAAGATAGAAATCTCAAGCTCATAATCTAATTCTTTTATATTAATAGAAACAAGTGGGGAAGTTTGGGAGAATGAGATCTGCTGTGGGAACATGAGCCAACAGGTGAGTGTTTCCACAGCTTTTTCAAGTTCTCCCAAACTTCCACAAGTGTTTCAAGAACTTGATAGAAACACAGAGAACATGTTTTCTTATTTCTTTTACAAAATTCTGCAATGAAAAAAATTAACAACTTGGTTACTTTGATCATAAAAATGTAAATTGTCTTTGTTTGCAGTATCATTACATCAAAAGATCATGCTAGTTCTGTGTTTCTGTCGAGTTTTAATATAAATGTACTAGCTTTCTATCACAAATACCGTTCTCTGATTAGCTATGCTACTCACTATCTATTCTGTGATAGATAGTGAGTAGTAGCAGTGTGCTCTTGTTAACAAAATGATGGCCACTTCTTGGCATTTTCAATGTGGCCTTGATGAGGATTTAGATAAAGTCTTGAACAACAAGTAGATTTATTAGCTAAAACAATTAGATTATTCACTCTCGATTTCTGTGCAAGATAGTTGACTCGGGCTAGCTGCACCCTCATCAACTATCATGCGATAGAAATCTCAAGCTTATAATCTAATTGTTTGACAGAAACACGATTTTAAACCAGTCGGCGCACATATTTTCTTTGGGCTATTTTCTAAAAACATATAGATCTCAGATTGGCGAAAAAGTGCCTGTCCTGTACTTATTGCGAAATGTGAATTTTTCCTTTGTTTAAAGGTAAGGTATGTTCTGTTTTTTAAGCAGTGCTCAGTTGAAGATGGTCCCAGATCAAAGAAAGCAAGACTTGTGATGCATGTAAGTTGAGTAGATCCTGCCTTGTAAATTATGTCATTCGTGGATGTAATCTAAATTTACTAATGATCACTCTGTACCAATTGTATTCCTATGCAATTTTAAGAACACTAACAGCATTGCTGTGCTTCTAAACAAGCCTGTAAATTAAATACTGTTTCTGAAATTCATCAGTTCTTCGCACTGGAAAGAGTTTTTGTGGTTGCCTTCTAACTTAGGAGTTTGTGTATTATGAAACAGGGTCTGTAGAGTCAGTTTAAAAGCAATGTCATTGACCTGGCTTAAAAATCTGTTCAAAATGAAAAGTCCAAAACAAGCGAAATTTGTTGTATTTTATGCTGGTATACATGTACAGCTGCTGGCAGAAATTACTGACTTCTTCATGATCTCAGCCAATTTGCTCTGCTGGCCAATAGAAAGAAATGGAAAAATCAGCCACCTGCTCTGACAATAAAGCTGCTAACTTCAAGACTGTGACAACATGGAGTATCAGATAATTGAGCCATAGAGTGTGAGCATATATATTACGCACCATCAGTAGTCCATAACTGATGATGGAAATGGAAACTTTTGAAAACAGTTTCAGAAAACGCATTCAGAAAGTATGTATTTTTGAATGAAAACGCATCAGTGTGGACAGGTGAAAACAAAATGACAAGTTGGTGAAAACATTTTGCTTTGTTTTGGTTGAGATGAAAACGGATACTTTTAAAAATGCATTTGTGTGCCAGGCTGGTACCATAGTGCATTCACATATATTGTTTAAGACAGATTTTGTGCTGGTGCAAAAAACCTGACTGTTTCTTTTAACATTTTCACTGTAAGCATGGCATACGTCTGCATACGAGCCAGGCAGGAGCTTATCCGGTTTCTGTAGCATGAAGTGACTAGGAGTACCGGTATTTCTACTCCCCACAAGATTGGACACTATTCCATCGCAGGGTTACCCCCACCATTAAGTTTGCCGGTACCCATTCATACGCCTGGGTGGAGAGAGGCACTGTGAGAGTAAAGTGTCTTGCCCAAGAACACAAAGCAATGCCCCTGGCCAGAGCTTGAACCTGGACTGCTCGATCCCGGAGACAAGCGTAATAACCATGAGGCCACCTGACCTCCCAAGCATGACCTAAGTGGAGTTTTAATGACTTCTGCTGTCGGCCATTGAGACCATTGGACCTAAGTTTTATTAGAATAAAGATGTCAAATTACTGTAATCTGTTCTTCCTCTTTGCGTAAGCAAATTAGCACTGGGGCATAATTACACCAGTTGTTTAAATATTTTTCACTTTTTGCTGCTGTGTTACAGAATGAAGTGTCCCTCAATCTGGTGTTACTTCTTTCCATTTCTAGGACATAGAGATTGAAACAAGCAAGGAAGAAGTTCTGTTATCAAATCAATGGGGCTCATTTTTTGTTCATGATCATAAAGCTAATCAAAATGGAGTCATTAATAACACATACACAGTGGAAGGAAATCATACCTGTGAAAAGAAAACTGTGAGAAGAGAAATGAACACGTACTGGGGAGACCTGATACAGAAATATAGCACTTTGGCAATTCCACGGATAGATTTTATCACCGGTAAGCTGATTCCTGTGCATTAAAACAACAGGGGTTTAATTAAGGGCTGGGCACCAGGCAAATTGACCAACTATGAGCATGATCTTGCCCCCTGGTTTGACCATCGAGAGGAAAGTCTTTTCATATATATAACAAAAAAGTTCAGTTCAAAAAGGTTTGCCTGCATGTGAAAACCAGTTGCCCACCTGCTAAAAACATTAATGAAACCCCTGGAACAATCCACTAGTGAAAATGGTCTTTTAAAAAACTACTATCACATTTTAAGACAAATAAAATCTAAGAGGAAATCAACTATTTTTTAAGTAAATAATTCTGACTTGTTTGAGTGCTGCAACACATGTTCTTACTTATTTTTCTACATTACATGTACTAGCTTGTGTTGAGTTACATATGGGAAGGAGGTGACATGCATGCATACAGCCGCAATAGGTCTTTCTTCCTGTACCCTAATTGACTTCCACACCTACTATGGTTGATGACAATTTGGAATTATAACCTGCTAATCTGTAATTGCAATGAAATAGTTATGTGTAGTCCAGATAAAGAAAGATCAGGACACCTGGCCATGAATATAGCATTTGGCATGTCAGTGCACACAAGACTGAAATTATTCAAGGTCTACTCAAAATTAGGTAGACATTCCACTTGTTCAGCCGATTGAAATCACTTCAGGGAGCATACCACAAATAAGGCATCCTTTAAACTCTATTATTATATAAACACCAGTGAAATACCAGGATTTTTCCTTTTACTAAAAGTCATATCTTCATCGCACACAGTGAAGATACTATTTTTATCTTTCACACTGTGAAGATATTATTCCTTTTTGATGACATTTTTCCTTTGTCCCGTTAACTACACTTAAATTTGTTGATGTATGATCAAAACATCTTCGGATCTTCTTTGGTCGTCTTCAGCAATCTTCAGTAATTAATCTTCGGAAAATGTTTGAAAATGTTCATCAGGCCTTCGGAACAATTTTGGAAAATCTTCGGAAATCTTCAGAAAGTGGTCGGAAATCTTCAGAAAATCATCAAAAA